CAGTTGCCAGGAGAACGGTACTTGCCTGACTGCATTGCGCCAAGTGTAAAGTTTGGTGGAGAGGGGATTATGGTGTGTGGTTGTTTTTCAGGGGTTGGGCTTGGCCCCTTAGTTCCAGTGAAAGGAACTCTTAATGCTTCAGCATACCAAGACATTTTGGACAATTTCATGCTCCCAACTTTGTGGGAACAGTTTGGGGATGGCCCCTTCCTGTTCCAACATGACCGTGCACCAGTGCACAAAGCAAGGTCCATAAAGACATGGATGAGCGAGTTTGGTGTGAAGGAACTTGACTGGCCTGCACAGAGTCCTGACCTCAACCCGATAGAACACCTTTGGGATGAATTAGAGCAGAGACTGCGAGCCAGGCCTTCTCGTCCAACATCAGTGCCTGACCTCACAAATGCGCTTCTAGAAGAATGGTCAGAAACACACTCCTAAACCTTGTGGAAAGCCTTCCCAGAAGAGTTGAAGCTGTTATAGCTGCAAAGGGTGGGCCAACTCCATATTAAACCCTACGGATTAAGAATGGGATGTCATTAAAGTTCATGTGCATGTAAAGGCAGATGTCCCAAAACTTTTGGCAATATAGTGTAAGTCTTTAGATGTTGTTTGAAGACTGACAGTGACTCAGCTGTTCAGACATCTAGGGGAAGTTCATTCCACCACCTTGGTGCCAGAACAGAGACCCCTAACGGGAGCAGCCAAAAGAACAGGACTCTATATGAGTGCTTAATTAAAGACAAGCGTACATGTTTGGTGAAGCAGTCACTGTAATACTGTAAGTTACTGTAAATCTAGATTTGCCATACAGTTGATAGAGTATGAACTGTAAAACAAATAAATGTTTTGTGCTAGAAGTGCCTAACTGGAGTAATACAGGTCAGCCTTTTCCAGTTAAATCTAGAATTTCTTTTTTTTTAAACACATTACATGTACTTTAACTGGGTTCCTGGAGGACTAGTAGTTAGGTCTCTCACCGCTGTGGCCTGGGTTTGATTCCCGGCCAGGGAACCGACCCCAGCCACTGGGCTTGCATGCAACAGTACTCTCTCAGTGCTGGTCTCAAGCCCAGATAAAATTGGGGAGGATTGCAGCAGTAAGAGCATCCGGCATAAAAACTGTACCTAAAGCAAATATGTGGACCAATGATCCGTGGTGGCGACTCCTAACAGGAGCAACCGAAAGAGGAACAACAACATGTACTTCAACCAAAAATGTTAATACAGGGTCTTCAAAAGCTCTTAACTGGCACTGATGATTGTCACGAGGCAGAAGCGTATACAAGTGCAGGTAAACAGCAGCTTTACTGAAGACACAGGCAGACGATTCCAAAACGTAAGGCAGGAGCTTAGTCAAAATAACAGTCAGAGGTCAAGCAATTAGCAACCAACATGAACTTGGCAAGGCTTAAGACAAAAAGTGAAACACAAAACAAGATAAATAACCAGGCAGACTATTGCAATAAAAGGGCTTGGTAACAAACTGGAGAGTATCAGGGCATATACTTTGCGAGAGTAAAGTGAGAGTGGATTCAGAGTCCTTTTATACTGGGGTCTGTAATTGTGAACAGGTGTGTGTAATCAGTAAGATGGTGAACTTGAACATGACTGTCTCTGTTGGTTCTGGGTGTTGTAGTCTGTAGCGGCCATGTTTGTAGGCCGTGTAGTACTCTAGGTAGTGTAGTTGAATGCCGTTTCCAGCATTGACATGACAATGAAATAGTATAAGCTACTTAGAATATAGCAACATAACCGCCTTGGTATTGGAAAATCTCTTTAGTTAAAGCAGAGATTTATAGCTTCATAAGCAACATTGTTGCCCCACTACATTGATAGCTCAGATAAACAGACTCATGTCTGTTTCAGCATCAACCTCCATTGCTGATATGTTTACTTACAAAAAGCATATCCTGTGAGAATCTTGCACGTTATTGATGGTATCAATCTACAAAGGACAGTTTATACAGTATATTTCTTTAATTGTAAAAAAAATTAAGATAATATATGATTATAATATATTATATATAATAGAATATATAATATATAATATTATAATTCATAATTTCTCCATTATATTGTTAAATTCCTATAACAGACAGCATGTAGCAGACTTGTACTAGCTTGTTCTGTAAAAACAAAAAGCCCAAAAAAAACTATATGTAGTCAAAGAGTAACATGTTCAAATTATATAGTAGAGATAACTACAAATAACAGAACTACAACAGCAGAAAAGATTCAGACCATATGATTAGAACAGTAAGCACCAAAACCAGAAAGCATTTGGCAGACATCCTTATCCTTATCTCATTTATACAACTGAGAAGTTGAGGGTTAAGGGCCTTGCTCAAGGGCCCAGCAGTGGCAGCTTGGTGGTGCTGGGATTTGAACTCTCAGTCAGAAGTGCAAAGTCTTAACCACTGAGCTGCCACATTTTTAACCCTGTATTTGAACATGTGATGAATTTTTTTTATTATTATATTTATTAATAATTGCTAACTAGAGAGAAATAGAAAAATGATAAGTAGATATAAACATGAATGGTCTGCTAATCCCATGTCATCATGATATTATAGTAACTACTCTTTTGTGTGGTATAGCAGCCTTGATTTATGTGTACATATGTATGTATAGGGTTCCAGCACTGGTTCAAGCCCAGGAGCTCCCACTACTCTAAGTCCAACCCTACATCCTCCTACTGTTGGCTTTTAGATGACTATCGTAACAGTGATCACACTGAGATTTTAATTTAAAAAAAATTTGACACTGCAGGAACTTTGTCACCGGCAATCTTTGGTTGCAATGTCACTAAATCGGCCACTAGTGAAAATGTCACATTATGGATTCTACGACCACACATCTGAACTCATGACCAAAGAATTCTTTTACAGTGTGGGATTTTTGTCTCTGAAAGCAAAATTGGGACAAAAATTGTACAGTATATACCTGACTTAACAGAGATGGAAATAGTCTGTACCTGTCTACTTTCTAGGATAGCATGTCATTGTAGTTTTCTGAAGACATTTATTAGTACTTATCAAAGATTCTCCCTAAGGTTTTGAATTAGTCTTTTACTCATTACACCATTCCCACACTTTAACATACCAGGAATCAGTTTGTAATTACTCTTATAAGTAATGAATTCTTATAGATTCTTCAAGAGCTTTGTATTGTTCAACAGTTTGTACCTTGTGAGATTACTCTGAATAAAAGCAGCACATATCAAACATGGAACCCATTGGATATGCAGTAATGATAAGGCAGTTGTAGCTTGTAGGTTACTTAGTTGATGGATTAAGATAAGATAATCCTTTATTCGTCCCCAATGGGGAAATTTGCAAAAGTTCTTGCCAGAAGTGGGATTTGAACCCACGCCTCCATCTGGAGACCAGAATCCTCTCTATAGGAAGGTTTGTACCTTGAGTCTGGCGCCTTAGACCGCTCGGCCATTCTGACATACTGAGATTACTCTGAATGGGCTGATGTAGTGGGACACAAGTTGTTTTTTTTTTTAACCACCTCTAAATGGTATGAAGTCCATGGTCAACAACTATACGTGATCACTTGGTGGAGTATCAAAGGGGTGCCTGTCAAGCACTTCCTTTTGTTGTTGAACTGCTTGACCTATCAATGTGCTTCTTCTCATGCTACCTCATTTTTTGAAACCACTCATCAACAGATGGTGCATCTGTGGGCAGGGAAGAGAGGTGGTTGGCATCCCAGTATGCATTGGAAAGGTGTGAGCTGGGCAGAGTTAAACATGATCCATGCAGGCTATCACATATTTTCTGAGCATGCCTCTGAGTACATCTTTTGTGAAGGCCTGGAGGACAGAGGAAAAATTGACTAGTCCATATGGCATTACAGAATATTAATAGTAACCTGAGGTTGTACTGAAGACCATCTTCCATTCTGTCTTCCATTCCTCTCTGATTAAAACTAGACTATAAGCACACTAATGGTCAGGGTTTTGAACTGTTCCAGTGCTGAGGGCATCAGAAGCAGTGAGTATCTATATTTTACTGTGATAATATATGTGATATATTTTACAATATATGCATTGTTGAAGACCCATGCACAGAGAAGAACCCTATAAATACAGGATAAGTAGAAGGTCTGATATAGCCTTGCTGCAAAGGCTCTTGATGTATTCTTCTGTAGCCTAGTTTTCTGTAGAATTTAATGCCTGAGAGCAGGTGGTTGGCACAGTCGTAAGGTCTGTGTAGAGGTAGGGTTCATGCTCTGAATATAGTAAACACTTCTTTGAACTGAGCATAGCATTCAGGAATGATCATTTCTTGGGTGGTTTAGGTACTCTCTAAAGACATACAGGCTGTGGTAATTGAGGGACAAGGCAGCAAGGGACCAGGCTGTGATTTCTTATATTTCTCTGTTGGACTGGACATTGAACAATTCAGTGGGTATCCTCTACACAGTAGAACCAGATACCTTTCTCCATATGGTTATGAATGGTTAAACAATCTACATTAGCTCTGGATCTTGAGGAATTGCTCTTGCTGTTCGTGCTGCCAGGGAGAGAAAGAAGATACTACTGGCAGAAGGTTAGTTTCTCAGGATAAATACGTGTGTGTCCTGGGCATGTATTAACAAGGGAGTTTCTGCATTGCTTTCCCTACGAACCCTGATGTTTGTGCACTATATGCTGATATGATCATGTCACAAAGTTACTGTATACAAGATACAAGTATATAGTGGCCACAAAATAGATCTGACAGCCTTAGTATTTTATTTCATGGACACATCTTAAAAATAACTTTAAAAAAACAACAACCCAGTATATCACTGAAATTAGGTACCACGGTGGTACAGTGGGTAACATTGCTGTTTCATAGCTCCAGTGATCCCATGTGGATTTCCTCCTAGCCAGGGTTCATTCCCACTCTGTGCCCAGTGTTCCTGGGATAGGATCTGGATCCACAACGACCCTGACCAGGATAATGCGGATACTGAAGATGAATAAATGATTAGTGATAATATAATGTCATTGTTCTCTTCTCCTTTAAGTCCTGTAAGTTGTGAGGTTGGGCCTCCGTGGATCGGACTTGTTTGTCCAGCACATCCCACAGGTGCTTGATTGGATTGAGATCTGGGGAATTTGCAGGCCAAGTCAACACCTTGAACTTTTTGTCATGTTCCTCAGACCATTCCTGAACAATTTTTGCAGTGTGGTAGGCGAATTATCCTGCTGAAAGAGACCACTGCCATTAGGGAATACCAGCGCCATTGAAGTATAAAGAGTGGTGATACTTTTTGCTCTCGCCGCCATGCAGTCACGTGGTTCATGTGGCTCTCAATAGTTCCAAACAAATCCACGCTGTCAGCCTGTTTGAATGGGTTTAAGCAGGACAGGCAACAGCAGCGATTGTATTTGCAGCAAATTTCAGTAAATATTAACGCATAATGTGCATTGATTACTACGTTGACTATATTTATAATAGCATTTTTTCTGGGGAGTGACGGAGAGGCAGCATTAATCTGTTTTTCTGTGTTTAATTTTGGAAGGAATACATTTACAGTATGTAAGCATTAATATTTTTCTCATGCTTCTATGGTTATAATTACTCACATCCTAATGTTATCTTATATTAAGACATTCACATAAGCATGCACAACAAGTGAATATCAATGAATGCAAGTAACCGCTCAATTTAACCCAAGAAAGAAGTTTGGTCAATAGTGCAAAATAAACAAGGCAACCAATTGCATTCAAAAATTTTACATAAAACATTTTATTGTACAATATATCCAGGGAGACGGTAGGTAAGTTTTTCCTTGAATGGGCAGTCTTCATAGAAACTTATTTGACCTCCTACAGGGAGAGAAAGATGGCAGAAAGCAGGCCAGGAAAGGCATAAAATTGTTCAAAATAGCCATTGCATTCTTTCTTTCATGACAACAGTAAGAAGAAAAGGAGATCTGGACACCTGGCCATGAGCACTCAATAAACTTCACTGGATGATGACTGCTCAAAACATCTCCAGACACACATGCAAGAACCACAGAGTCAAATTTTTATCCTTATAATGATAGCAAAAACATTCAAACTCCATGCCACAAGTAATGGTACAGTTACTTGAAAAGTAACTACTGTAGTAACTAAAGCTGTCTGACAAATGTAGTGGAGTAAAAGTATAAAGTTGCATTAAATGGAAATACTCAAGTAAAGTACAAGTACTTCAAATTAGTTACACCACTGGAAGCAGACCATGTTGTAGGCCCCAGAGGAGACTGGGACTTGAGTCGAGTCGAGCCTGTTACTGCTATGGACTTCAAGTGCAAACTCTCATCTTAAATTTGTGGGTATTTTCAGATGTATCAAGTGAACCATATAGAAATTATAGCCATTTGACAGACTACCAATTTCAGAGGACCAAAGGTTATTGCACAAGTTCCTATAAACCTAAATAAAATGATCTTGGTTGCAGATTCTTTGAATTTGATGAACAAATAATATCCTCATACTAAAGCTGAAAGTCTGCATTTTAAACTCCTAATCATTGTTTCATTTCAAATCCAATGTGCTGAAGGACAGAGCCAAAATAACCAAAAATTGTGTCCTCCAAATACATTGACCTATCTGTATAAATCCCAAACCAACCTTACACCTGTAGGCTAGCCCAACACCTAAACTTCTCCTTCCCACAATTACAAGGGCTCGGACATTGTGGACATGGGGTATGTTCCTCACCATCAGGAATCAGGGTTAATCTCTGGCAATTTCAGCTAATTTCAGCAGTTCCCTCTACTCGTGACCACTGCTAGGCAACACCAATTGGATGTGCCTGTTGACAAGCAATCTCCCTAATAACAAAAGTACCAACACAGAAACAATTCATTATCGGGGTGCAAACTCATCAGGGGTCTGGGGGCATGGTCCCCTGGGAGGAAACTTTGTTAAATATCAGCTTTAAAATGTGGATTTACTGTCAATTTTTCATGAGGATATAGGGAAAACCTCACCCTAGAATTAATTTAAGACAGGGAGGGGTTAATTGGCACCCCTTCTCTGGAAACTGAAGTAGTATTCATAACATCTAACCTCTATAGATCAATCGGCCTTGCTTTGGAGAAATTAACCTATATGGCCAGAGGGAAACTAAATAAATTTATTCAAATATGAGACACATTTATGCAATTCCTGGAAAGTGATTAGGCTGAAATTAATGAGCGAAATTGATAAATAAAAGGACAGCCCCTATAAAAAATGATATCTCATATTATATATTGTTTTTATTATTTATTATTATTTAATTATTTATTTATTTTTTCCCCTGAATGTTCAATGTTGAGGGTGGGATAGGGGAGAGGAGTGTTTATAAATATTATTGTATGTATGACTATGTGCTTTCGATGCCAAAAATCTACAAATATAATGTTAAAAAAAACTTTTCTAGATCAGTGTCTTACCATGGTTGGCTGTGCGGCATTTTGATGCACCAGTCAGTCTGATAAAGAGATCCGGATGTATGGCTCCCCACAAGATACCGACAGGAGAGAAAAATTGGCCCAAGTCAGCAGAAGCAACCTGACCATCACGAGAGATCACAGTAACAGAAATCTGTGTGTGGTAAGTTATGTTTATACTGCGCATTTGGACATTTCACTTGTGGATCAAGGTTCAGTGTGTTTCACTGTCATATGTACATGACTGCAATGAAATTGTGATTGACAATTATGGGTTAATATCTGGAAGGTGTGTGGAAATTAAACTCTGCCACTCTGCAGGCACATTTTGAGGAGAGCAATTCACAAGAAAAAAAATTTGAGGGCTGATGCTGAATTTGAGGGCTGATGCTGTTCCAACCATATTTGTGCATCGCCCTGTGTCAAAGAGGAGGAAAGGTCCTGAAGTGAGAAGTACCACAGAACCTCCAGTACCTGTTCATGCAGTGGCCAGTGACCACACGTACTGTCATAAAGTGAACTTCGGTATGAATAATGTGAAGTCATTATTTATATATTTTTAATTTCAGTGACTAGCTTACACACCCTCCCTGTAACACTAACAATCCCATGTCATCATTTCAGAGATAGAGGGAGGAAGTAAGGGAAGTGAGGAAAGTGAGAGAAGGGAAAGTGAAGAGAGGACAAGGAAGGTGAAGACTGTGAGGAGATTGAGAGGAACATACCAGGAGCCAGTAAGCCAGGAATCAGTATGCAGGGGCCAAGTGAGCCAGTGCGAAGGAATTGAGGGAGGAGTTAGAAGTACAAAAAGGTCAGAGAAGAAGGGTAGAAGGAGCCCTAAAACGACAGAAAATATAGAATTCTGTCCTACGGGAAAAAAAAAATTAGTCGTGGAAAAGAAATTTGCTGCCATTTTTTTTTCTAAAGATCAGATAAAGGCAATCCAAAGGAAGAGCAAGAAGAGCATGAGATTTGAAAACAACACAGTTAAAAGTCTGTTTGCCACAGGCTCAACAGGCTACAGGCTGCTT